AAAAAAAAAGAGAAAGTAAACATTTGCAATGAATTGTTTATGAGAAAAAGAGACCTGTGACGAAACGCGGTCTCCTTCTTTTGATATGTCCGATGGCAGTGGGTGGAAATATCCACGCGAGTTGTTTGGATAGTCGATCTGAAGAAAAAAAAACTCGCTACATGCTTCCCAAAAATATACATGCATTCTTGGCTTTCCAACTTCTCCTCTCTTATCCTATAGCGACTTCGTAGTTTCAGGAGCAATCAACATTACAATATACATGTTTATGCGATCTGAACTTACCTACTATACAAAAGCCTAAAATGAAAAATGTAAGCACTCCAATTCTAAGCACCTGCACACGAAGATTTCGCAGATCATTTTCGTCGAGATTATGAAGAGAAGCGACCAGCCGAACTCCACAAGGCAAACCAGCCACAAAGCGAATTGGCTTTTCAAGAGCCACATCGCGATTTGGTTCAGAGATCTGTGAAGCAAATATTTACGTGCAAGGTTGAGGAGCACTTTCACATTACCTGTGCCCATTTCATTCGAATATCACCTATGCTTGGAAATACTTCTGGCAGAGCTGGGGCATGAGTAACTAAAAGATGTCCAAATGTGCCAGTAGAAAGAATTTTTTTGCCATCAGCATCAGCACAGTCAAGTGGATCTAATATAGCAGCAATCAGCGCTAGCGCCTGGTCACTCGGCGGTCCTACTACTACCCATCGACTGTAAAGATCAAAGTCAGTCATCATACTTAATCACTAAATTTTGACAACTTGTTTTGAAATACCCACTTTTGTGCATCTGTAATAACGGCACGAATGCTCAATACAACTTGGGTATATCGCTCTGGTAAAGACGTCACCTCTACGAGTAATTGTAGCAGCGAGAGAAACATGCCCGCCTCAACAAGAAACGAAGCCATTCGCGATGATATTCCAGCGAACTGGTATTCTGCACATCGCACACGCACTAACTCCTACAACTCATGTATTGCAATATTTCTTTGATTAGTACTAATAAGCTTAGCATTTCTTTTTGTATCATGAGTAACTTTATTCGACAATGCGATCAACCTGATGTACAGTATTCGCAGCATCCGTTACATCACCACCTCTCAGCACCATTTGCGTAAGAGATTCTAGTGCGGTACTAACTGCACAAAGGCTCGCGACAAAACGAGCAGCACCAGCTAGAGGCTCGTTGAAAGCGCTTATCGCGTTTGCATCTCTGAAAACCAGCAGTGTACCACCAAGGGAAGAAAATGCACAAAAATCTAGGCTTACTCCACTATATATCTTCGCAGAGCGTTCCTGTCAGTAAGAGTTGGTTCGCGGATAACCTCCAACAAACGTTCATATAAATTTAGTAGTATATCCGAAGTCGTCGCGGATAGTTCCTTACAGGACAATGAACTTGCAGAATTTGGAGTACTGCAAGATTTCTCCAAAACCTGAAATATGTCGGGAGCAAGTTAAGCTGCAATAATTGGAAAAAAGTTGTTCGAAGAATTGGCTTTACTTTGATTGGGGGTACAAGATCGGGTGCAGCAGCGCGGAGAAACCGATAATGTTTGAGGATACACTCCGGCAGAAGAGAGACGATTGGTTCATAATTAGCAGCCGCGTTCAATATTAAAATCAGTTTCGCAATGTCTTAATTCATAAATTACTAAAAATTCAAAAAAAA